ATTATGACTACTGTTGAGCCCAAACTTTCTGTTGCTAAGACAGTTGTTAAGTGCATCACTGCAGTTGTTAAGTTAGTAACACGGTTGCTAAGTGAATCTGACTTCCCCATTAACTTTGGTTCTCAGAAGGTTGCAAAAGGTGACTCCAGGACACTGCAACCACGCCACTTGCCAAACGTCCAAATTCTGATCATGTGACCATGGGAATGCTGCAACGGTCGTTAAGTGTGAAAAACGATCATAAGTCACTTTCTTCAGTGCCACTGTAACTCCGAATGGACACTAAACGAACAGTTGTAAGTCGAGGACTACCTGTACAGCATCCTAAGTTCTTGGGAAGAATTTGATGCAATGAAATTCAATGGTGAAAAAAGTAAGGTTCTACATTTAGGCAAGAAAAACCAAATGTACAGGTATAGTATAGGGGGTACCTGGCTCAATAGTAGTAACTGTGAGAGGGATCTCGGAGACCTAGTGGACAATCACTTAAATATGAGCCAGCAGTGTGCTGCAGCTGCCAAAAAAGCCAACACAGTGCTAGGCTGCATTAACAAAGGGATAGAATCAAGATCACGTGAAGTATTAATACCACTTTACAATGCCTTAGTAAGGCCACACTTGGAATACTGCATCCAGTTTTGGTCACCACGATGTAAAAAAGATGTTGAGATGCTAGAAAGAGTACAGAGAAGAGCAACAAAGATGATTAAAGGACTGGAGGCTAAAACATATAAAAAACGGTTGCTGGAATTGGGTAAGTCTAGTCTAATGAAGAGAAGGACGAGGGGGGACATGATAGCAGTCTTCCAATATCTCAGAGGTTGTCACAAAGAAGAGGGAGTCAAGCTATTCTCCAAAGCACCTGAAGGCAGGACAAGAAGCAACGGATGGAAACTAATCAAGGAGAGAAGCAACCTCGAACTAAGGAGAAACTTCCTGACAGTTAGAACAATTAACCAGTGGAAAAACTCATCTCCAGAAGTGGTGAATGCTCCAACACTGGAAATTTTTAAGAAGAGACTGGACAGCCATTTGTCTGAAATGGTGTAGGGTTCCTGTCTGAGCAGGGGGTTGGACTCAATGACCTCCAAGGTCACTTCCAACTTTATTATTATTATTATTATTATTATTATTATTATTATTATTATTATTATTATTATTATTATTATTATTTGATGCACCTGAAAACCAACAAGAACTGGCAGCTGTGACTTCATATTGTTGCATAGATTATAATAATAGCCCTGCAGCTTACAGAACGGCGTCTTTAAAAAGACCAGTTAATTAATCTTACAAGTTCCAATATGAATACTGTGGAGGGCAAAAAGGAGAGAGGCCACTTGCTAATCTTTGGGGGTCTCTGTACAACTCAGCTGGCAGCAGAGAAAGCTTTCCCTTATCTTTACACAGCACTGTCACCACTCTAACATGGGGCTGCCCTTGAAAAGTATCCGGAAGCTTCCATTGCTTCAAAATGTGGCAGCCTGTCTGGCTTTGCAAAGGCCTTGATGTGCATATTTTTCACCTCTCTTGTGGGAACTACATTAGCTGCCAATTTGCTTACTGGCCCAATTCAAGATTCTGGCTGCCACCTTCAAAGCCCTACACAGCTTGGGACCAGGTTATTTGAAGGACCATCTTTTCCTGGTCACATCAACCCAACCCACTAGAGCGGGGAGGCAGGGAATGCTATGGGTCTTCTATCCTAAGGAGGGTCGTCTAGTAGTACCAAGAAGAAGGGCCTTCTCCATGGTGGCTCCCTTCCTGTGGAACATCATCCCGGTGGAGAAAAGATTGACCACCACTTTGACTCTTTCACAAGGCCCTGAAGGCCTGGTTTTTCCAACAGGCCTGGGACCTCCAAGTAGGATGGAGTCCATTAAGTGCCTTATTTGATTGTTTTTGCTAGGGGAGTAGGGGGGGTATTGCTTTTTATTGTTTTTATATTGGGTTTTTATCGTTGTAAGCCGCCAGGAGTCACTGAGAGTGAGTTGGGCAGCCATGTTGTGCCCACGCACAGTCTATTCAACAATTTTCATACTTCACAGCTTTCAGTGGTGTAAACACACAATGCTCGTCTGATTTGAGAACTCTAAAGTTTGATGGAGTTCTTGCACTTTTCCTTTGATTTTTTTTGTTTAAATAATGCATCGGATCACTGCGTAAAAATTACGACAGTTCGTTTAGTGCAGGGATAGGCTCTTTTATAACTCGTGGACTTCAACTCCCAGAATTTCTGAGCCAGCATGGGGGAAACTATGGCTCCTTCATGACCTGTCGACTTCAATTCCCAGAATTCCTCAGCCAGCATGGGGGAACTAATGTATGTGGATTATATTCCTTCCCACTGTGTGATGACTTCCGTAGACGCTTCCCCATTTAACTCTCCAGACGTCAGCTCAGAAGATGAACCAGCTCCAGGAACATCTGGAGGGAAGTGGGTTAAATGGCTCCAAGCAGCTGTCTGAGCGGGCTCAAACACAGCTGCAGCAGGACAGCCCAGAGGCTTCAGGTGGGGAAAGCATGCGGCTGTAACCGGTCAGTGATGAGGAAGAGGAACTGCCTGCTGCACTTGATCCAAGAACACTAGGGCAGAGAAAAGGCAGGAGCAGAGAAGGCCAGCCAGATACTCACGAGGAGAAAGCCTCGCCCTTCTTGATGGGCTGCACCAGAAGCTGGCTATTTAGCGCAGAAGAGAGGGAAGTGATGCTGGAAATAATGTGTTAATAATAATAATAATAATAATAATAATAATAATAATAATAATAATAATAATAGTAGTAGTAGTAGTAGTAGTAGTAGTAGTAGTAGTAGTAGTAGTAGTAGTAGTAAAGTTGGAAGGGACCTTGGAGGTCATCTAGTCCAACCCCCTGCTCAGGCAGGAAACCCTATACCATTTTGGACAAATGTGTTCATTTCCTAGCTGTGTGTTTTCTGGTCATTGTGATTTTTGCCTTGCTTTGGATTGACACCATGCCTTGACTTGGACTGTGCCTTGTGAACGCTGGATTTTTCTTGCCTCATGAACCCTCTTGTATTGGGGATTTAATTTTGCTTGGTGGGTTTATTCTGACTGGGAAACTTTCATGTGCCTCGTGGATGCCTTGGCCACTGCTCTGTGGACTAGCATTGGTCTGCTTGTGGCCGGACTTAATTGGGACAGTTTTGGGTTTTTGGTTAAGGGAGTTGCGGGGGGAATAATAATAAACCCACTAAACCACTGTGTGTGTGTGTGAGTGGGACAGCACACACCGTCACTGGAGAGAATGAGAGTATAGCAGCACCCGCTTTGGGTGGATCACCTGGAGACCAGATCAGGAAAGAGCCATGGATCTTACAGATCCAAGGACCTGCCGGGGGGGGGGGTTATATCCATGGATGTCTTCCAAGAATTCATCTTGGTGATTCTGTTAGGACAGTGATGGCGAACCTTTTAGAGACCGAGTGCCCAAAAACTGGCCCCGCCCCCGCTCCACCCCCTGCCCCGCCCCCACCCTGCCTGCCCGCAGGGCCACTCACTGCCTCCAGGGCCCGCCGCAGATCACCCAAGGAGCCCAGCAGCGCTATGGTGGCCACGCCCTCTGACCACGCCCCGCAGCATCAACTGTGCGCGATGGGGCGTGAGGGCAGAGTCTTGTCTTCGCTGCCTGGCTGCCATGTCCTTGGCTATGCTGCTCCACGTGGGCCATGCTCGGGGGCAACTCTCCTCCAGGAGGGCTGCTGGTGAGGAGGGGGGCGCGGGAGGAGACAAGGCTGGGGCAACGGCACGTGTGCCCACAGAGAGGGCTCCGAGTGCCGCCTCTGGCACGCGTGCCATAGGTTCGCCACCACTGGACTACTGTAACGCTCTCTACATGGGGCTCCCCTTGAGGAGCACTCAGAGGCTCCAGTTAGTCCAGAATGCAGCCGCGCGGGCGGTGATGGGAGCGACTCGTCGCTCACATGTAACGCCGCTGCTGCGCGAGCTGCACTGGCTGCCTGTGGCCTTCCGAGTGCGCTTCAAGGTGTTGATTATCATCTTTAAAGCGCACCATGGCATCGGACCTGGCTATCTCCGAGACCGCCTTCTGCCACAGATCNTGGCCTAGGGATATTTTATTATTGGATTTTTAATCAACTTTTAAAAATAAGAAAGGCCTATTTAAATATATTTTTTAATTTGTTTTAATTTTGTATATTGTATCAATTGTTCTGTTTTTAATTGGCTGTAAGCCGCCCTGAGTCCACCAGGAGAAGGGCGGGATATAAATGCAATAAACTTAAACTTAAACTTAAACTGTGTTAGGAGAACAGGACCAATTTCATAATAGGTGATCACACAGGAAATACCTCTGAGTCATACTTTTATAGATGACAGATGCTGAAATCCAAGGGGTACCCTTTCTCTTTCGTACACAGGGGAATATGACCCTTCAAAACTTCCATTTATCAACTGCAGTTTTTTATGTCCTTTCATTAAAAATAATTTCACTGGGTTAACAATCTTCTGCCTGACTGATCAGTGACATCCTTTAAAATCAATAAATACATCCAGTGATTCTATGTACTATTTCCATTTCACCCCCCCTTCTCAAACCCACTTGTTCTTGATCTGTTTTTGTGTGTGTGTGGCTGTTTACCCGTTCAAACCTAGTGGTAAAACATGGTTTTATTTCTTAGGTATCCTAAGTTTGATTTACAAGCAGAAAAAAAAGTATAAAAGTGATCAAAGGCACATATACATGTACACAGTTGCGTATGTTGCATATCCCTGTTCTTCAGTATTTAATAAAAAAATTGCCAATTTACATCACCTTTTCTTATTCAATGTCAAAGTTATTTGCCATCATATCCAGTTGCCAAGCTGGATGAATTTTGATCACGTGACTATGGGGGATGCTGCAACGGTTGTAAGCGTAAAAAATGGTTGTAAGTCACTTTTTTCAGTGCCCCTGAATGGTTGCTAAATGAAATGTTGTAAGCCGAGGTCTAGTTGACACAAGCAACCTGCTAAGACTTACCAAGTCGCTCTGCCAGCCCCATATAGATGGGATCCACACGCCTCATGGTTTTTACTAAGTCTTTTTTTCGGAATTTGATTTCCACTGTCCCTTCAGGTTCCAAAACACCACCTCTGAAAAAGATGTTTTAACAGAAATTAGCACACAAAACACTGAAGCGGTCAGCAGAAGATAAAGACCCCCTAAGCAGCCTTTTAAAAAATTCCGACCTCTTTAAAAACTCTCGTAGCTATTAATGGAAGAAACAGAGGCTGAAAGTTAAAAACATGTCAGCACAGAACAAGCTGGGCCAGTTAGAAAGGAGGCTGAAAAAAGAGAAAACGAGGCTAAAAAAAATTCTAAAATCTGGAAGGAAACAAGGAAGAAAAAAGAAGGGAACTAGGTTGAAATGTATACTTTATATTTATTTGAATTAGCCAGTCAACTTTCACTGCAACACTGAAGAAGGGAGGAACAGATAATAAACAGAAGGAATGTCATTAAGCTGCTGGAAACGTCACAAAATGAACCAAGCTAAGAATCTAAAGTGAGATAAAAGCATATTTTAATAATTAAAGTATAGATATAAATGGTATGTCCTTCTAGAAAACTCACAAATATTTTTTTTCCCACTGATCTTTAAACTAGCCTTACATTGTACAAGGGAACAGACAGGGATTTATTGTACACATATATTACATACAGGTAACCCACGACTATCACAATTGTGTAATGAATTATCTATCTATCTATCTATCTATCTATCTATCTATCTATCTATCTATCTATCTATCTATCTATCTATCTATCTATCTATCTATCTATCTATCTATCTATCTATCCAAATGAATTATTCATCGATCCATCCATCTATCTATCTATCTATCTATCTATCTATCTATCTATCTATCTATCTATCTATCTATCTATCTATCTATCTATCTATCTATCTATCTATCTATCTATCTATCTATCTATCTATCTATCTATCCAAATGAATTATCCATCCATCCATCCATCCATCCATCCATCCATCCATCCATCCATCCATCCATCCATCCATCCATCCATCCATCTATCTATCTATCTATCTATCTATCTATCTATCTATCTATCTATCTATCTATCTATCTACGTAGAATACAGTCTCCAGTACACAAAAGCATATTTATTAAATATATCTATAATAGAACCAAAGAATAGCTATGTTTATCCTATTCATGAACGCTTTAGGAAACTCATGTTGCTGGAATGCATGGTATGGCAAGGTACGGAATGGATGTGTGTGTGTGTGTGTGTGTGTGTGTGTGTGTGTGCGCAAGAGATAACGGCTGGCCCCTCAAGTGGGTGTATGGAATGTAACATGCTTATGCTACACTTTTCAAGAAGTAACAGAACAAGGAGTAGACGTACACGAATCATCTGTAATATTTCTGATGGGTCATGAATTTAGACTTGGAATAAACAAGTTGGATATAAAAGGAGAAATAAAATGCAATGGACTTCGGAAGCATGAGACCTCCATGGGGAGAAGGGGACGCCCTGAAGTCTAATTCCCAACCCACTCTAACACAGCCTGGCCATCTGTTGTTGAGCGTTTGTAAGTATTGATCATGTGAATGAGTAGCCTAGTTGGCCAGCAATACTTACAGCTCCATCACTGGAGATTTTTAAGAAAAGACTAGACAGTCACCTGTCTGAGACGGTATAGGTTCTCCTGCTTGAGCAGGGGGCTGGACTAGAAGACCTCCAAGGTCCCTTCCAGCTCTATTCTATTCTAAATTCTAAACTTGAGTAGCCTTGTTGGGCAGTTGCTTATTGATTCTTTGTTTAGCCTAGTCGGGCAAACGTAATGTTGTTTAACCTAGTTGGGTAACTAAGCAATTGTAACAAACTGTATAAGATAACAAGTAACAAGTAACATGTATTAGTCAACTATGATTGAGCACCTGCCTTGCTTTCTGTCCGAATAACACAAGAATAAAAGAACTATTATTAAACCTTATCTTGAGTGGATTTGACTCATTCATTTTACAACAATTGAGGTCAAAATTTCTGTCACTAAGCAAGATAGTTATTGAGTTTGGCACCATTTTGCGATCTTTTTTGCCACAGTTGTTAAGTGAATCAATGCAGTAGTTAAGTTAGTAACATTCTCTCTGCTCTCTCTGCTGTTCCTTGAAACTGGCAACTGGCTGAGATTTGAGAACAGCTGGGGGGATTATGTCCCTTTTTACCTCTTTCTATACCCTTGGAAAAACAACTAGCAGATTTTCAGTTTCTTTTTTGAGATAATAAAGACAAGATATTGTTGCTTTTTTATAGTACATTAGGCAAGTTGCTTGGCTGTCCCCATATGTGCGTTATATTGATAATGATTATGTTGTTTTGGGTTAGTTTTATGAGATGTATTAATGGTTATGGAGCATAATGTTATGAGTAGTTAGTTATAATTTAAATCTTAAATGTTGTTTTATGATTCATACCAAGACTTAAGCATTTTAAATATGATAAGATTAGTTGTAATTTTCTTCTTCTTCTTTTTCATTGTTTGAGACAATAAAGTATTGGGAATAAATGACATAAAGGGATATAGGGCTGTGTCTGTCTGTCTGTCCTCTCTGAAAGCTGAACAGAACGCATCTAAAATTGGTGCAGGAGAAGAAAATATGGAAAAATAAAGACGGGATTTGAAAATGGACTGGATGATGCTGGATTGGGGAAACACAGGTAGTGGTGAACCTATGGCACGCGTGCCAGAGGGGGGCACTCAGAGCCCTCTCTGTGGGCATGTGCGCCTCGCTCTTTGGCTAATTTGGCCATTTCTCAAACCCCTTCCTAGCCAAAACAAGCCTCCAGCGCTGTTTTCTTTGAATTATATCAAAGCTGACACCAGAAACAGACTAATGGATGACCTGAGTGCTGCGTGTGTTGCTCTCAAACTTACAAAGTATGAGCTAAGGTTAGACAAATTATCAGCATGCATACAACAGCAAAAATCACATTAATTGTTCAAAAGCATGCCAAATGCAAATTTTTACCTTTCAATAAAAAGTTGTTTGTATCGTTGAAAGCTTTGTTATTGTGTGTTTCTTTTAAGACCAAAGATGTTAATGTATGAGTTGTTTTTTCTAAACTAAAACCTCAGTATTCAGGTTAAATTGCTGTGTTGGCACTTTGCAATAAATAAGTGGGTTTTGGGTTGCAGTTTGGGCACTCGGTCTCTAAAAGGTTTGCCATCACTGATGTTTTGTTAATTAACACTACATTTGCATTTAAAAGCTATGCTAAATTACGTCAGAAGAACAGTCTCACCTGCTGTCCCGGTCAGCGTACAATTCCATATGTCGAGGATTAATGGTGGGGTCAATCACCACCCAGGAACCTCCTCGGAGTTCTGCTTGGGGTGGGATGTAAACAAGAACTGGCTGCTTATATTCTCGCAGACCATCCACAATGTAGGCCCCAAACTTCAGCACCTGGTCATACATATCTGGGGAGGAGAAGGACATAGGAGTAAGAAGTGGGTCTGCTACTTTCTCCAGAATAAACACCCCGCCCCTCACCCCACTTTAATTTGTGAGATTCACTGGTCCAAGCATTTGGCCTCAACCACTTTTAAGGAGAAGAATGGGACAAACTCACAGAAGGAAGAAATCCTTCCAACAGTCTTTGGACACGGAGGACTAAATCAAACTTGACAATTGTCGTGGAACCACAGGGTAGAAATCTTCTCCTACTATGCAAGAGCTAGTATTCAGAGACACACAGATAGTTCTCAACTTGCAACTGCAATTGAGCCCAGAAGTTCTGTTGCTAAACAAGACAGTTGTAAAGTGAGTGTTGTCCCATTTTAGGACCTTTCTAGCCACAATTGTTAAATGAATCACTGCAGTTGTTCAGTTACTAACACGGTTGTTAAACGAATCTGACTTGTCCACTGAGTTTGCTTGTCAGAAAGTCGCAAAAGGGGAATCACATGATTCTGGGACTCTGCAACCGTCATAAATACGAGTCCGCTGCCAAGCGGCTGTAAGCGTGAAAAATGATTACCGTATATCACTTTTTTCCCCAATACCATTGCAACTCTGAATGGCCACTAAACGAATGGTTGTAAGTCGAGGACTACCTGTAAGGTTCCTGAAGATGGGAGGTCTAATTCTCAGGGTTTTCAACAAGCAAAGTCAAGGGGGGAAGCCAGATTCGCTTAAAGACCATGTGATTCACTTAACAACCATGGCAAAAAAGAGAGATTTAAATGTCTTTATTTGGGGGGTTACAGACCTTTTTTTCCTTCCTGCGTGGAAAAGAATAACAGATTAGCAGAGCTGGAAGGGGCCTAGAGGGGTGGACTAGAAGACCTCCAAGGTCCCTTCCAACTCTGTTAATCTGTTACTCTTCTCCGTGCAGGAAGAAAATAAGGTCTGTAGTCCCCAAATAAAGACATTTAAACCTTTTTTGGGCCATGGTTATTAAATGACATGGTCTTTAAGCGAATCTGGCTTCACCCCCTTGACTTTGCTTGTTGGAAACCCCCCCAGTAACTCATAACTGATGATCATATGACATAGGATGCTGCAACCGTCATAAATACATGCCAGTTTATTTATTGAATTTATTTATTGAATTTATATACCGCCCTATCTCCCTTACGGGACTCAGGGCGGTGAACAGGCAATAATAAAAACCATGATAAATATACGCAAGTTTCTGTTAAAAATCAAGTGCCTGAATTCTGATCACGTGCCTGAATTCTGATCACGTGACCACAGGGATGATGTAATGTAATTAATGTAACTTAACATAATAAGTTTGAGGAACAGTTGTACGATATTTTTTCAGTGCCATCGTAACTTTGAATGGTCGCTAAACAAATGGTTGTAAATTGAGGACTACCTGTACTTAATAACCACCCATAACTTTGCTTTGATCCGGCATGATCTGTAATCTGTTCCCAGGCAAAGAAGAACATAGTAGCTCAAAAAACGCTGAGGAAAAAAAAGAGGAGCCACGTCACGTCTGGATGAAAGAAACAATCCTTTTGTTTCCTATAGCAAATGACAAATTTATTGCTAATTAAACAATCATTTTATTATGTAGCACTGGCAATAAACCACTTGAAACTCCTTTCAGCTAATTCCAGTGTTAAGGAAATAATTGCTCAATTCAAATTATTTTAACCAAATTAATTCTTTAGTAGACTTTTTTTTTTTAGTCGCGCTACATAATAAAATAATGGTGTAATTAGCGTGGCATTTTTCACTCCTGCTACGAGCATATATTTTATGTGGAAATAGCAGCCTGAGCGAAAGAAAGAGGATTCGTTCGCACCAAGGTGGAGATTTTAAATAAATAAAAAAGTAAAGAGGAAGGAGACGTTTGCTGGTAAAGAACTAAAATCCTCATAAGCCGTAGCAATTTTATTCAATCCAAGGCACCAACTGTCTATTGAGCTGTAACAGCTAATAGTCACTGATGCCAGCACTCAACTTTCTGAGGGGAAAAAAAATGATTTTAATCTTGAATGGTTTAAAATTGTATGTGTAGCTGCTCAGGAAAACATAGTGGGGCAATCTCTAAAGGGTGAGGGTTAGTGAAGGGGGTCAAAAGATGTCCTTAAAGGAGGTAAAGCTGAATTTTTTTTTAGCCTGGTTTTCCCCCCGATGCAGGGATAGTTTGCTATTTGTTTGCTATTCATTTAATGGCCCCTGTTTTGTTTGTACAGATAGTCCTCGACTTACGATGGACCTCAATAGGGTTACAACCCGGTTCTGGCCAAGCCACACCCCACAGCATGGTCATGTGGCTTCATACTGGACACTCCGCAACTGCCCCCCATTTACAGCTCAAATGACTGCGGCTGCTGCAAAAAAGTTCATAAAAGTGAAATAATAATAATAATAATAATAATAATAATAATAATAATAATAATAATAATAATAATAATAATAATAATAATAATAATAATAATGGTAAAGTTGGAAGGGACCTTGGAGGTCATCTAGTCCAACCTCCTGCTCAGGCAGGAAACCCTATACCGTTTCGGACAAATGGCTGTCCAGTTTCTTCTTAAAAACTTCCAGTGTTGGAGCATTCACCGCTTCTAGAGGCAGGTTGTTCCACTGGTTAATTGTTCTAACTGTCAGGAAGTTTCTCCTTAGTTCTAGGTTGCTTCTCTCCTTGATTAGTTTCCATCCGTTGCTTCTTGTCCTGCCTTCAGGCGCTTTGGAGAATAGCTTGACTCCCTCTTCTTTGGGGCAGCCCCTGAGATATTGGAACACTGCTATCATGTCCCCCCTCGTCCT